GAACTTTAGAAGGGTTAGTTTTTTACCTCATTAGCAGGATATCCAGGGGTGCACCAAGTGCCTTCCAGTGAGGAGCACAAGAGACCAGTAGACAGTGACAATCTTGTTCTAATGTTAATGTCACTGGAGCACAGAGTGAGATCACATCTGAGTTATGTTTCTTTAATCAGTGATTGGGAATAAAGAGAAAAAGCCATCTGCTGGATTTAGCAATAATTACTCCTTGTTTTGATCTTAGGGAAAAAGGCTCACACAACACAATCTCTGAATGCTCCTTTGAACTTACCCACAGTGTGTTCACAAATACACAGAGCAAGGATTTTAGCTTTTGCTGCTACCCTCAGTTCCAGCATAGAAAGAAATGTCTCTGTGCAATAACAGCAATTGCCTTACCATGTTACTGAACTACATTCAGTTTATCTGGTCTCAAACAAATACTCCATATTTTCTCCTTGTTTTATTTTCAAAGGCATGGGTATGGGTATTTAGGTGACTGCCTTCACTGGTACAGGATAGAAACCGTTCACATGGCTATAAATGAATATTATTCTCTTGACAAAACACCTTTCCCAAAGCCTCTGACAAAAAGAAAGGGAAAAAGAATCAAGAAAGAAAAAGGGAGCCACAGGTACATTGCTTGTCACTCACCAAAATGGGTCTCCTCCCTAAAGATAATTCAGGCACACCCTTCAATATGGATCTCTCACTATGATCCCAAGCTCTTTTTTAGTGGAAGTTTCTGTAGGGAAGCTGAAGTGCATCACTGTCTCAGACAGCCAAGGATAAGATGACTGAGGGAATTCAGTTGCTCTCTTTAATAATACAGGATTATTTCCCTTTCATTTGGTGAAGTTAATAATATGACTGGTGGAATGTCAGTAACAATTAAATAATAAACTAGTGCAGCACCAAAGGGAAAACTTACTTTAGTTATGGAGTACTGCCAGCATAAATCTTGAAAATCTTATATATAATATAAGTATTTATATATATAATATATATAAAAAATATATATAATATAATCTTATATTTACACTGATAAAATACCACATGTACTTCATGGGATACTGCAAGCTTTTTACAATCCTTGTGGCATGTCTTTACAGAGCAAGAGTGAACATTTTGAGATTATACCTTAATAAATGAGTTGCAGTTCTATTGTTTCTCGAATGTTAAGTACCACATCCTAAACGCAGGAACACGTTCAAGGTCCATGTCCTATTTTAGACCTTTTCAGCAGCTGTGATATTGTGATAATCACACTTAAAATATTCCTCTAGAAAAAGTAAATTGGCCCTTTTCACTAGAAGGATTATTATGATCAAAAACAAATCTGAAGGAGAACAAATTCAGACTTCTTTTTTTGTTTGTTGGTTGGTTTTTTTTTCAACAATGCAATAAATTGCTGTTCCTAACTGGGATGGTTTTCTACCCAAGAATTTAAAAGAAAACCCCAAAGTTCACTTTATTCTGCACTTATATTACTTATGGGGGTTTGGGTTTTTTTTGAGGCCTCACTTATGTAAAAATACCTTCCTTATAATGAATTTGTGCTCTCTGTAAAAACCAAACCATTCCAGCTGACATAGCATTCTATCACTAATACTGCAGGGAAATGTAATATCCCACTAAAGCAGAAGGGAAAGAAGACAACTGAGCATCAGCAGCTCTTCCTAAGCAAGATCAGGGGTTTAGCTCCATCTAACTGAGGGATGAGATGTGTCCCTCAGTGGGTCTCTTCCCACTCCCCCACCAGCCCTTCTACCCGACTGCAAGCTCAAAGTTCTAAAAAGAGAAGAAGAAGCTGGAGTGTCAATATTTCCCCAGTGCAAACCCCAATAATCTTTGCTGGGAGCTGACAGGAATTGCTGTTCCACTGCCCTGGGGTATCCTGGCTTGAGGCGAGAGCGCAGCCCCGCCCAGAGCCCCCAACCCCTCTGAGAGCTTTTGTAGGGTCTGTTTGTCCATGTCCCTGTGGCAGAGGCTGCCCCGACACCTGCCCTGGAGCTGGTCCAGCTGCTGGACCAAACAAGGCATTGTCCAGCCTGCCTTCCCCCAGCCCCGACCGCCCCAGCCCATCTTCCATCGCTCTGCTTCCTTTTCCTGCCCCTGCTCCCCCTCCGCTCCCTTCCCTCTGGCATTTTTATTAGGAATGTTCTTGCTGTTCTCACTGTCCCAGCATGAGCTGATCCCCAGGGGAGCCTGTGGAATGTAACCCCTCAAGCACTAAATTCCTTCCCCTGTGCCAAAGACACGGGTTTGTTGTTGCTGCCCCTCCCGCCGAGCACCAGCTCCATCTCCTGCTCCTGCCCAGCGGCTTTGCAGAAATCCAGGGCTGGGTGTGGATTGAAGGCTGTGGCGAGGGACAGGATAAAGTTGCTTGGCTTCCACCCTTGGTGTCTCAGTGTTTGTGATCTGGGAAATTGTCAGGAACCTGGAACAATGGCAGATTATCTGTTGTGGCAGGATATGTACCTGGAGATTGTTTTGATATGTGTTTAAATCGTCCTTGAATAAAACAACTGATAGAAAACAATGTAAAAAAAAAAGGAAAAGGGAAAAATAAGAAAAAAGAAAATTTAAAAAAAGGGAGAAAAGAGAGAAAAAGGAGAAAAAAAAAGAGAAAAAAAGAAAGAAAAAACAGGATAAAAATGAGAAAAAAAAGAAAGAACAAATAAAAAAGAGAAAAAAAGAAAAAAGAGAGAGAAAAAAGAGAATAAAAAGAGGGAAAAAAGAAAAAAGAAAGAAAAGAAAGAAAGGAAAAAGAGAAAATAAAAAAGAAAAACAAGAAACCCAACAAGTCCGATCCTCCCCCGCCGCAGGGACTACAACTCCCACAATGCCCCGCGCAGGCGGGGGGCGGGCAGGGGCCGTGGCCGCGCGCTGATTGGCTGCGGGGCGGGTCTGTAAAGGCGGAGGGCGCGCGGAGCGAGCGCCATTTTGGCCTCGTGGTCGGGAGTGAGGAGGACTCGCCTGCGGCCGCTGCACTTCGCTGGGTGAGTTGGCGGGGGGGCGGCGAGAGCGGGGTCTGGGGATCCCCTCGGGGGCTGCGGGGAGCGCGGGTGTGGGTGGAAAGGCTGGAGGGCTCGGGAGGGCTTAGCGGGGGAGTTCGAGGGTTTCCGGGAACGTTGTGAGGGGTCCCTGAAAGGACTCGGGGGGGAGGTTGAAGGTCCCTGGAGGGTTTTGGGCGGCTCTGATGGGAGTTTTGTTTTCTGAGAAGATTTGAGGTGTCCCAGGTGGGCTTTGGGGCTCTCTGGGGAGGTTTGGGGTTCCTGGGAGGCTTTGCGGGGACCTTGAGGCAGTTTTGGGGTCCCTGGGGGGTTTAAGGTGTCCCAGACGGTTTGGAGGGCCCGTGGGGGGGATTGGGGGTCCCTGAATAGGCTTGAGGGGTCCCAGGTGGGTTTTGCGGGTCACTGAGAGGGTTTGGGGGGTGCTGGGCAGGGATGAGATCTCTGAGGGGATTTGAAGGGACCTGGAGAAGGTTTTGATGGGTCGAAGGGGGATTTCAGAGGTTTTGAAAGGATTTTACAGGGTCCCCTAAAGCCCAGCAATGGAGTTCAAGGGGTCCCCCAGCCCCCAGGGGAGGGGTCCTAGGGATGCCCCCCAAAATCCGGAGGGGGAGATGTACCACATCCGGGTAAGGGGATCCCAGTGACCCCAGTATATCCCAGTGACCTCCCAGTGACCCTCAGTATGGCCCAGTAACCCCCTCAGTGACCAGCCAGTGTGTCCCAGTGACCTTCCACTGCCCCCCAGTATGGCCCAGTGATCCTGCAGTGAGCACCCAGTAACCCCCAGTATGGCCCAGTAACCTGCCAGTGTCCCCCCATGTGTCCTGGTATCCCCCAGTAACTCCCCAGTGTGCCCCAGTTCCCCCCCAGTCCCTCCCAGTGCCCTCTCAGAGGGCCCCTGAAAGCCTGGTGAGGGGGGGCACGGAGAAGGGGAAGCCTGGACAGTGGGGACCCCTGGGATCCCCTAGGACAACAAAGTAGAGAACCTGGAGAGGGGGAATTTCTGGGAATGCAGTATCCCGAAGGCGAGAATCAGAGGAGAAGGGAGCCTTGGGACCCCCAACACTCCCAGCATCTCTAGGTAGAACCCTCAGCATCCTAGACAGGAGAGACTCTCTGAACCCTAAAGGGGGGAAACCAGAGAAGGGGAAATCTTAGGAGAATTTTTTTTGGCTCATCTTCATATTTTAGAGTATTTTTTAGGTGAATCTCAACTTTTTTCAGTTTGGGGGGGCAGGAGTCTTCTCACTCTTTCTTATAGGCTTTTGCCTGAATCTCGATGATTTGGGTTTTTCTGGGCTGAGTCTTGGTGTTTTGGAGGTTTTTATGGACACAGGATGTCCAGTGAGTTCTAGTGATGGACTTGGGCAGGAGGAACCCCCAAGCCAACGCGCTCAGCCCTTGTTTTCCCCCCATCAGGATTTGTCCTTCCCAAAGCTTGGGCGGATGGAGGAGGAGGCTGCGAGGAAGAGGAAGATGCCTTGGGCCCCCCAGGCAGGTGAGGAGGAAGTCAGTGTCCCTTTGGGCGGGTGTTGTGCTGGCTCTGTCAGCCCAGCATGGCCCCGGCTGCAGGACAACCCCGCTGGCGCCGCCGTCCTGCCGGGGCCGGAGTTGGGGGGATGTCCTTGGCCTTCCCTGTGGGCCGGAGGCAAATCCCCTGCCTGTCCTTCTTGCTTCCTGCCCCAGGCCCCGAGCTGAGGACGGAGAGCCCGGAGGACAAATCCCCCCGTGAGACCCTGGTGGGAGAGGCCGTTTTGAAGGGCTCCCCGGCGCAGGAAGGCAGCGGGGAGGAAAAGGGCCGGAGATCCCCCCGCAGGAGGGGCTCCAAAGCCATCCCAGGGTGCTCTGAGGAGGAAAGAGCCAGCCTGTGCCGGGAAGGCGGCCGGAGCTTGAGGGGGAGCTCTGACCTGGTGGTCCCTGAGCAGCCTCCCAGCAGGGAGAAGCCCTTTAGATGCTTGGAATGTGGGAAGAGCTTCAGGAAGAGTGCCCACCTGATCCGGCACCAGCACATTCACACGGGGGAACGGCCCTACAAGTGTAGGGAATGTGGGAAGAGCTTCAGGGACAGCTCCACCCTCCACAAACACAAGCACATCCACACTGGGGAACGTCCCTACATGTGTTGGGAATGTGGAAAGAGCTTCAGTGACAGCTCCAACCTTCTCAGACACCAACTCATCCACACTGGGGAACGGCCCTACACGTGTGGGGAATGTGGGAAGAGGTTTCAGACCAGCTCACATCTCCTCAGGCATGAGCGGACACACACGGATGAGAGGCCCTTCCGCTGCACCGACTGCGGGAAGGGCTTCAAGCACAACTCCACCCTCATCACCCACCAGCGCATCCACACCGGGGAGAGGCCCTACAAGTGTGGGGAGTGTGGGAAGAGCTTCACCCGCAGCTCTAACTTGACCCAACACCAACGGACCCACCAGTAAGAGAAGCCCCACCAGTGCCCCGACTGCAGGAAGATCTTCGGCCGCTACTTCCACCCCGAATGAAGCCCCTGATGGGGAGGCAACCCCTGGAGTCCAGTGATTGTCAGTCCATCCCTTTCCACCACAAAGGACCAGTCCCCTTTCCCAGGGGCAGGTTCTGACAACAGAACCCTTCTTCGGGGGTGTGTGGAGATTCCTGCCTTGGCTGGGGACCCCCCCAGGGTCACTCCTGGAGGTTCAGAGCAGAGATCTCCCCACCAGCGTTGGTCTGGGGGAGTTCCATCTGTCTCTAATTAAAAATTTCTCGTTTTGTGCCAGCTTGAGTAGAATTGCTTCAACAATTGCTTTAGTGTAGAGCACTGTCCTATCTTATCCTGTACTCCTGGTAGTTTTAGTGTATATATTGTGCACTAAGTAATTCTGATGAAGATCTTTTGTCTGATCATTTGTATCCCTAAATAAATTCCTTTTTATCAATAGATCTGATTTGCCATCAATAAAACCTAGGGGACCAAAGTGATTCAGTCACACTTCTGTAATTCCTCTAAACTGAAACTGTTGGCATGATCCAAGGCTGAGATTGGATCCAGCAGCCCCCAGCACCGTACAGTAAGTTGGGAGCTCAGAGGGGCCACCCCCCTTTCCCAGCCCTCCTGTGCCCAAAGGCTCCCATGGTACCGTTTATCCCACCACACTACCCCTGCTCTTTTACCCTTCTCCCTGTTCCTCCCAGTTTTTCATAGTCCACTCAATCCCCAGCTCCAATTAGGATCACTCTGGGGGTCCCTATCCCCATTTTTCTCCCCTCTCTCACCCCTTCCACATCATCTCCCCACTCCCCAGCCCTCTCATGCTCAGTTTGGGGGTCCCACCCTCCTCTTTCCCCACTCTCCTGACCTCTCCCACTTATTTCCCATCATTCTCAATGGTCCCCCCCTCCACTTTTGGGGGGTCTCACTCCCCTCCCACTCAGTTTGGGGTCCCACTACCCCTTTATCCCCTCTAACCCCCCCTTTTCCCACCGACCTCCCCCTTCCCACCCCCCGCTCACCCGAAAGCTCCTCGCCCAAAGCAGCTGGGGGGGCTCCCAGCACCACCAGTGCCCAGAGAAGTCCCCCCAGAAAAGGGGTTGGGTGAGGTCCTGGGGGGGCTTTGAGTGTGTTTGGGGGTCCTCGGGGAGCTCTAAGAAGGTTTTGAGGGGTTCCCAGCACCTTTTGGGATGAGCTGGGTGCCTACTGAGGGGCAGGTGCCCTCCCAAAGCCCCCCCAGAGTGGGTTTACACGGGGGAAACAGGGGAGTCCCTATTCCCGATCCATCCCGGAGCCAGTTCTGCCCCCCCCAAACTCGGCTCCACCCCTCGTTATCCACCCCCCCTCCCCCACTGCCCCCCAATAACCAGGACTGGGGAGAACTGGGAAGCTTTCCTGGGATCAGGAGTGGCAGCAGGGGAGGGGGGGACACACGACCCCCCAAAATCCTCACAGGGACAGGAGGGGTCCAGGCTGGGCCCGAGGCCCCGGGGAGGGGCTGCGGCCGCCGCCGGCTCAGGAGCTCTGTGGGGAGAGAAAAGGGGGTGACAGCGGGGTGGGGGGTCCCCGGGGGGGCACAGACGCTCTGGGGGGACACACGACCCCCTGGGACCCCCCTCACCTTCTGGCGCAGGTAGAAGCCGAGCCCCAGCGCCAGGGAGACGAAGGCCAAGAGGAAGCCCCCGGCCCCTCCTTGGCAGCAATTGCTCAGGCTGATGGAGCCCGGCAGGGCCGGGGCCGCCGGCGGTGTCCGATCCCGGCAGGAAGCGGGGGGGGCCCCGGGGAGCGGCGGCGGCGGGCGGGGCCCTGGGGGAGCCGCCCCGAGGGGTCCCCGCCGCCCGGGGCACTGAAGGAGCCGCCCCGGGACGGGCCCTGGCGGGGGTCGCCAGAGAGGGGGGCGAGCTCGGAACAGAATCAGCTCCGGAGAATAAACCGAGGGAAACCAAAGGGCCGCGCCGGGGGAGTCTCCGCCGCCCCGGAGCTGAAAGAGCTGCCCCGCGGGACGAGCGAGGAGGGGCGGCGGGGAAACAGTCGCCCGGGGTGTGGCGAGGGAGATGGGAATGGGATAAAACAGAGAGAATCGAGGGAGAAATCGCTTTGTTTCCCCCCTACCTCCCCACCCCAGCTCCCTTTTGTATACAGATAAAACCAGGGATCGACATGTGCTTCCCTTCCCCCTTTTCCCCTCAGGGGATGAGAAAACAAAAGAGAAAACCTTGAGAAAGAGGGGGAAAAGCCAACTCTGCAAAACCATCTCCTCTGAGATAAGTTGTGCTGCCAAAGGAAACTCTGACTCCAGAGGTGCCCAAGCAGCGGCAGAGCCCCCACCCTGCACACTCACACCCTTCAGCTCAACACTGGGGTTTTCCCCTCCCTGGCACTGCCCAGTCCAGCCCCTCCCTGGTCCCCCCATCTCCCTGCCCCTGCCCCAGCCCAGCAGAGCAGCACACTCAGGTCTGGCCCTGCAGCAGGACATGGAGGCCATGGAGCTCAGGGACAGGCCCTCTGGGGCTGCAATGCTCAGCACATCATCAGCTCAGGCAGCTCCTGCAGCCCCAGGGCCAGCCCCGCTCCCCAGCACAGCAGCAGAGAATCGGCCCCGGGCTCCTCAGGCCCCATTTGCCATCTCCAGGGGCACTGGCCACCACCAGCACCAGCTGGAGCAGCCTCAGCCCCTCAGCCCCCACAGTGGGACCCTGAGGGCAGCACACGGACTCCAGGGAGAAACCAGCAAGGCAAGGACCCTCTGGAGAGTCTGCTCCTTGGCCTTCTTCTTGAGAGCCCTGGAGAAGAAGAGCTGAGGCTTCAGGCTGTGCCCGGAGCAAATGGAGCCCCTTGTGTGGTGGAAAGAGTGCAGTGGAGCCCAGCTCATGCCAGCAGTGCCATGGCCACAGGACTGACCCAGCCCAGCCCAGGGACCAAGGCCCAGAGCACTGAGGCCTCACCGAGGCCCAGAAGGGGAGGGGGGCAGGAGAAAAAGAGCAGCTCTCAACAGGCCAAATGCTGCTGCTCCCTGGCACTGCTGCTGGGCTGGGACTCTCTTTCCCTGCCCCTCTGCACACAGGCACTGCCCTGCCAGACCCATCAGAGGTCTCAGAAGATTGAACTCAGAGAAACAAGTCACTGAAGGATCCTTGACTTTGTTTCAATGCATTCCTTAATTTCCACAGATTCTGGGTCAAATTCAGGATGTAGACAGTGAACCAGACATGGGATGAATAATCAATATTCACTGTACACAACTTTATCCCAGGAGAAAAAACACATGAAAACCCTAACCCAGCACCACAAAAACCTGAGCAGGCAGGCTGGAACAAGGAGTCCCATTCTGAATGCTATGGAAGAGAAAACAGGCCATTTGTGCCTTCAGAAAAGTATCCAGTCATCATTTCCCTCAGGGCATCCTTGAAGAAAAAGATTTCTTAAGAGAGATACCAGAGCTTGGCAGCAGGCTGTCCTTCTTAGCTTGGAAAATCTCTGCTAACTTACCTAACAATGGTACAAACCCCCCACGTTAATGGTGTCAAACAGCTTCATCTGCAGGATTCATGTTCCAGCATTACCTAATGCACAATTATCACACCTCTTTTTAAAATTAAAGGGGAGGGAAAAAATAAGTATGGGGTGAGGGGAGACTCTCCACCCCAGTCATCCATCAAGTGTACATCCTGGCCACTGCTCCCAAGAAATTAAATATATGCTAAAAAGATATAAAAAGACATCAAATGCTTTGAGAAATAAAAGTGCTTCAGAACTAGATTTTAATATTGTCATGTGGGTTTTTGCCAGATTATAAAGTTGACTGAAATGCCAGGATACTGCATTTTGGAAGCGGCAGCAGCTCACATATTGCCTTGTATTAGTGGCTGAAGTGTATTGCTGATTCCAAAGCCAGACTATCATCATCTGTGGGGGAGAGTAGATAAATAAATAAATAAAAACTGGCATTCCCTACCAACCCTGCTGCCTTGAAGCACTCTTTTCAAGTGCGGCCTCCACAGGAAACAAAGTTAAGACCACTTTCTTTTGATTATAGTGCTTTCCCCAGGCAGGAATTTTTATTTCAGGTAGAATCTTTGAACCATTACATTTTCAGTGATGCATTTTTATATTTACAGTTGACATCTTCATAGAAGATTGAAAGCTTTGAGCAACAGCTCTAAAGCATGAAGGTTGCCTGCAGTAAATACTTAAATTATTTTACACCCAAATGGAGCCTGTTGGTTTTAGTTAAAATTTATTAAACCTTAAATCAATGACCTTTCTTTTACTGAAAGCCTACCCTTTGGAAAACTAACTTTCCCAAGAAACATATTTGGGTGAATAAATGCCAAACAAAAGGGTATTGAAATCTAAACATTTTCTCAATTTATACCTTGTGAACATTTAGTTCCTAAATTCCCAAATGCTACCTAATGAACAGAACAGTGGTGCCTTGGTCGAATCACATATCATTGATTTCAGTGTCACAGGGATCTCATTGACACGAATCAATTAGAATCCAAAATCAATCAAATATGTTCATGCACTATCATTCATCAAATTTGAATATTCCCAAATTAATTTGAAGCATGTGAAAGAACCTGGAAATAAATTTTGAAAAGGTACAAAAATAAAAATCAGTAAACTTTGAGAAGATAATAGTGCATCTGAGCATGTTTCATGCCTGCTGGGGTAAGTTAATGGTGAATCCCACCTTCCCTTCCCAGCACAGGCTGAGATATATTCTTTTTGGAACATGAAAATACCCAGGGACTGAAGGCAGAGGACACACCAGTCAATGATCCAGCATTATTTTATGAACAGCCTGTTACACACCCAATATCAAACATGCTGCCAGGATATTACAAAATGCACAAGGATGTGACACTCTGAAAAACTGCACATTGTAAGTGAGCCACTGCACTTCAGGGAGAAAGAAAGGAGAGAATTCCTGAATCTCTACCAAAAGCATGAATACATGTGGCCACTTACCCAAAGAGCTGTTCTTGTTGCTGAGGACTCCTCTCTGAACACCTTCACCTGTAATTCTGTCAAGGTAATAAATCCTTCCACTCATCACAGCACACTCAAAAGCACCCTGCTATTTAATGTCAATGGAAAAATGGCCCAAAGTGTCTAAAACATTTCCTTTTGCTCATGTAAAAGTGCTGGCATTTCACTTCCTTCCTGATAAGCCAGTGCCAATGGATGTGATTATTCTTTTCTTATTCAAAGCATATCAGTAGTTCCAAAGCACTCTCCATCTTATCAGGTGTCTGAACAGCACAGTTACTGAAAACAGTTTGTCCTGCTCCTCTCTCCTTCTGCCAGGCTATCAGATAAACCCAACTAACTCTGTATTTACACACCATCAAACATAAGCTGTGTCTTCAACCCACTGCAGCCTGTTTCTGGCATGTTACAGGTTTGCTGCTTGACATTAGTTGTACCCAAAACAGCAGCAGTGAATTAGCTTAGAACAAAAATATAGTCACTCCATAGCACAGAACACAAAAGGGACACAGGATAGGAAAAAAAAGAGAAACCTTTTGTGAAGTAAGAATGATCACTCTCATCTCAGCAGTTCACAGGTATTTATCTGGTGCTACTTGAAAAAGAGTATGGAAGCAGTATGATCTAAATGCATTCAAAACCAACAGACCTCAAGAGTAGAAAAACAATTTCTTTTTTTGTTTATTTTATTCTCCTGACCTCTAGGAACTGTCTCTGATTTGCAAGGGGTGAGAAAGTGAAAGAAAGGAAAATGGTTACAGTGTCTGAAAGCGTTTAAATGCCTTTACTAATTTTGTCAGTAACAAGACTGATTTTCATGATCCAACCTTCATTTGGCACTAAAATACCCCCACAAAAACAAACCAAAAAAACACTCTCCCCCAAACAAGCCTCTTGGCAACTCTCCTTTTCATTCAGTGTCTTGGATACAGAATTTTCAGTGCTGACTACTGAGGAATAACACAAGATCAACTCCCTCAGAAGGGCCACAGCTCTGAAGATTTTGCTCCCTGCCCAGCCCTAGGGAATAGGCACAGCATCTCCCTTCCTTCTTCTCAGGATGACAGGATATCCTCGGGATGAGCACAGTGTTGGAAGAGTTAAACATTAACCTGGCTGTGCCCTGGGCACTCTCAGCTGGCTAAATGAAAAGTTCTGGAATGCAGGGAGAAATCCTGAGTTGCAGCTCTTTGATTAAGTACAGCCTTCTTTAGAAGCTGAAGCTCCAGCCCCTGAGTGGAGGATCCTTCCCACCACTTCTCCCACTGACAGTCCCCCTGAGCAATAAAATACTAACTCAAACATAAAAGGACAGTGGCATTCATCCTCCACAAAGACAGGACCAAATCCTGCAGCCAATTTGATGACAGAAAAAAAATTTAAAAGGAAATAAAGAATACAGAGAAAATTTCTTGATCCTTTGTTACATTTCCAGTATATGGAGAACTACACAAACTGTCAGTAGCAGAGTGCTCAGAGTACATAAAGGAGTGTGATTTCACCATTTTGTTAAATCTTGGTTTTACTAGATTTTCCTGTCTTGTATTTCTTTGAAAATATTCACGTGTGAGATTGAAAAAAGTGTTTCTTTCAAAAACAGCTCTAGAAACCAACCCAGAAATAGGGGGAAAGGGGTGAAAGAGCAGCAGTCACACGTACAAGAATGGTCTGAATAAAGCAAGTCACCTCCTGCCCACCCACCCTGGCACCTGCTGGGAAGGAATTTTGCAAATGCTTAGGAACAAGCTAGCACTACATTTTAGATATGACTTTTTCATCTCTACATCTACAGGACTTTAAACTGTTTCATGTCTGTAAGGGGGGTACTTTTGAATTAGATGATCAATGGAGCATAGAGGCGTGAGAGAGGAATCATATTAGGATGTGAAACCAGCCAGAGTATGGTACAATGTAACTTCATGGCACAAACGAATTGTAAGGTCCATTGTGCTTTTTAGCAAGTCAGCCTGATATCCCCTATTATCAGAGCTGAGTTCTTCCTTGGTTTTGCTACATATTACAAGACAGATACATCTACCCTTGAAACACAGTGGTAGAGTTCATCCATAGGGGTGAGAAAGATGATGGTGAGAGGAAGATTCTGTGGGCAGGGGTCGCTGGCCCCTTGCCCTACAGCAGGGCATGCACAGACTGTTGCTATCAGGTGATGAACAGGCGGGGTTTGGCTGCCACTCAGGCATCACCTTATACTGGGTACTGGCCCTACGTGGTGTAATGTGGAGCTGATAAAATGGGGTGTCAGGACTGCTGGGGTGAGCGATCCTCATCCTGCCATGGAGACTGTGTTGTTCCATGGGGACGCCCGCTAAGCACGGGCACCGACCAGCTGCTGCAGATCCTGGCAGCCCTGGCCTGTCTGTGTGGGTAAGCACAGTTTATTGACAGGAAGCAACTCAGAAAGCAAATGTTTTATATCTTTTTTTAATACCCTTGTAATTCTCTTTTTACTAGTTAATACTGTATTAAAAACCACTCGTAGTATTGTTTTAATATCCTTTAAATGTTCCTTTAATTCCCTTATTACTAGTTAATACTATAATAAAAAGCATTCATAGTATTGTATGAATGCCAACTGATAAAGCAGTTATTTTGTATTCTTTTTTAGCTTTTGATTCTCTTTGCTAGTTTTTTATTCTCACTGCAGTAAAAGATGTTTTGTAGTGTTTGAATGTCTGTTGTACTTGTCTTTATTCTGGGCATGTATTCAAATGAACTAATACACAGGGGCACAGCTCTTTGGGGCAGGAGACGAGCAGCACCCTTGCCAGGACTCAGGGCGATGGCAGGTCTCCTTGGGCCAGGACTTGCCAGAGCTGCTGATTTGGGTGCAGCCCTGGCCAAAGGGCTGCCAGCAGCATTGGTGCCCTTGCCCACACCTTCCTTCTCGGTGTCAGCCCCCCTGTTTAGGATGGCCACCAGCCAGCACTTCTCCCAAGGAGGCCGTGCCAGCTTGTGTGGAAGGCCCCGTGCCCTTCCTGCTGCGACTGAGTCGGCGGCCGAGGGGGCTCCTTGTGCTGCCGTGAGCAGGCACAGGAGGGGAGTGTTTGCTCATTTCTTGAGCTGTTCCTACAGTTCAGGTCCAGCCAGATTAGATACTTCAGAGAGCAGATTCCCTCCAAGGTGGGGCAGGTTGGCGGGGCTGGGGGAGGCCCCAGGCCACGTGGCACTGTGTCCCAGGGCCCTTTGTGACACGCTGGGCATGGCCGGTGGGATGGAAGGGGGCAGGGTGTCCAAGGGCCCTTTATGACCCGTGGTGACAGAGGTGCTGCTGGTGACACGGCCACAGTGTCAACAGTGCTCCTCGGAGCAGGCGACGGGACAGGACGGGACAGAGCGGTGCTGTGCGGAGCCCCCGCGCAGCCAACTCGTGCCTTGCTGACCCGGAGCGTTTTGGAGGATTTTCTCGCTTTCAGGTGACCTCGAGGCATTTCCACAGGACTTGGAGACCCGGAGTTTCTCCGAGGTGTCTCTAATCCCTGTGGCAGGTGCCCTTGGGACCCTTTTGCAGGACTTGGAGACCCGGAGCTTCTCCGAGGTGTCTCCAATCCCTGTGGCAGGTGGCCTCAAGGCCATTCTGCAACTTAGGGCCCGGAGTTTCTCCGAGGTTCTCTTTCTCTCTTGCAGGTGCCCTGGACACCAGACTGTGGCATGGCAGGGAGACGCTTCAGCCTGCTCAGGCTGCTCCGGAGGAAGAAGGAGGAGGAAAGCCCTGGAGCTGCTCCAGCACAGCAGCCTGAAGAGGTGCAGCAGGTGCAGCCCCCGCAGGAGGGTGAGTGCTGGAGCTGGGCCACAGGGCTGGTGGCTGCAGCCCCCTTGGCCTCATCCTGTCCCATCCCGTCTGGACATACCCAGGGAAAGGGAGGGGGGCAGAGGGGCTGGGGCTGATCTCCTGGCAGCCATGCTCCATCCACTGGGCACCCTGGGGCTGGCCCTGCCTGCTCCTGGAGCCCAGGCCTGGGCTGTGTTCTCCGGCCTCTCCCGCACACCCTCAGCTCTGAGTGCGCTCGCTCTTTGACAGATGCAGGCCAGGAGCGGACAGAAGAGCAGCTCCGTGCCCGTGGCCGCTTCCGCAGGGCAGCACAGGTACCTGCAGCCATCCCCGCCTGGGCTGGGCCTGCTCTCACTGCTCAGCCCAGCACCGCTGTCCCAGCCCTCCAGGGGACATCCCTCTCTTCCCTGCCCTTCTTTCTCCTGCAGACATTTATGAAATTCATGGGCAGTCGGCGTAGAAAGTCCAGGGTCACACCAGCTGATGTCGAGGCCCAGCCTGACACCATCCCGACCCAGCTGACAAGGCCTGATGTCAGCACCGCGTCGACTGCTGTCCCAGCACAGTGTGACACCGCAACCAGTGATCACACAACCCACTGGGACACCACGTCCACCGATGATGTGTCACACTGTGACTCTGTGCTGCCTGGTCTCACGGAGGAGGCCGACGCCACAACGACGGAGGGCGTGGCGAGCACTGAGGCCGCGCCTGTTCAGCGCCTGGCCGATACCCCCAGCCTGGACTTTCTTGAGGAGAGAGCTGTCTCTGCTGAAGTAAGCAGCCTGTGGCCCCCCAAGCTGGGTGCGCTGGGCCCCCTCAGCCTTTGAGGCTGGCACAGTGTGCTGGGAAGGGAAGCATTTCTCGGGGGAAGCTGGGCAAGTTGCTCACACTGGCAGCTCTCCACCTCTCCCCTGTGCATCCTCCAGGCCAGACTGTGGGACCTGGGGACCTGGGGCTGCCCAAGGCATCTCCAGTCCCTGGGGCAGCTGCCCTCGAGGCCAGACAGTGGGACTGGATGAGGCGAGGCATTTCCCAGGCTTCTCTCTTGCAGCTGCCTTGAAGGCAGGACTGCAGGACTTGAGGAGCCAAAGCTTTTCCATGGCATCTCTACTGCAGGTGTCCATAACACCAGATGGAGACATGCAGCAGAGACCTCCCACGGTGCCCAAGCTGGCCTGGGTGAAGGAGGAGGAGAAGGAGGAAAGCCCTGGGGCTGCTCCAACACAGCAGCCTGAAGAGGTGCAGCAGGTGCAGCCCCCGCAGGAGGGTGAGTGCTGGAGCTGGGTCACAGGGCTGGTGGCTGCAGCTCCCTTGGCCTCATCCTGTCCCATCCCATATGGACATGTCCAGGGAAAGGGAGGGGGGCAGAGGGGCCGGGGCTGATCTCCTGGCAACCGTGCTCCATCCACTGGGCATCCCGGGGCTGGCCCTGCCTGCTCCTGGAGCCCAGGCCTGGGCTGTGTTCTCCGGCCTCTCCCGCACACCCTCAGCTCTGAGCGCGCTCGCTCTTTGCCAGATGCAGGCCAGGAGCGGACAGAAGAGCAGCTCCGTGCCCGTGGCCGCTTCCGCAGGGCAGCACAGGTACCTGCAGCCATCCCCGCCTGGGCTGGGCCTGCTCTCACTGCTCAGCCCAGCACCGCTGTCGCGGCCCTCCAGGGGACATCCCTCTCTCTTCCTTGCCTTTCTCCTGTAGCTGGTTTGCAGATTCATCAGGGGCATTTGGCACGAAGAGGCCACTTTCATGGCCACTGGGGACACGGCAAACTTGGACCTCTTCAATGCCCAGACCAGCGCTGCCCTGCTGGATTTGCTTGTGCAGAACGGTGTCTACAAAGCAAAGCAAGTAAGCAGCCTGTGGCCAGGGCTCCAGTCCCCCAGGGATGCTGTGGCCCCTCACGTCGGCTGCTCTGGGTCCCCTCAGCCTTTGAGACCAGCAGAGTGTGGTGGCAAGGGGAGCACTTCTTGGGGGAAGCTGGGCAAGTTACTGGCTCTGGCAGCTCTCCAACTGTCCCCCGTGTCCCCTCCAGGTGCCGACCATAGTCAGGTGCATCCACCAGTGGCTCACATCCAATGTGTCTGCTGAGCACAGGCTGGACAAGACTCTTGTCCTGCTGACCGAGGCACACCCCACGGATGTTGCAGTGACCCTGCTGCGCTCTGCCCCAGCCTGTGACAGGTATGGGGCCCACCTGCCTTGAGGGCTCACCTGCCTTTAGACCCCATCCCCCTGGACAGCCTGTCCCAAATGGTGTGCCAGAGACATGGAGACTTCCTGGACACTCCAGCTCCTCTCTTTGCCAGCTCTGGCATGTCAGCCTCCAATCCTGAGGCCAGCCTGCCTCCCTGCCCCACAAGGCACCGTGGCTCTGTCACCTGGGCCCCGCAGCTGCCCAGGCCACAGTGCTGTGTCCCAGACCCCCCTGAGCCAGAGTTGTGACTCCACAGAGCTGCTCGCACCATGTGGAAGACGCTCATCTCCTCCAGACGGACTAAGGAGCCGGTGCTGCAGATCCTCTTCCATGTGCTGGAATACTGGCCAGCGCACAGGAGACGCACCTCTGATGGGGATGAGAGGGATGTCTTTGCCCTGGCTGTGAGTTTCTTGAGCTGGCCTCTGCTCGCCCCCAGGTTGCCTCTGGGACGCCTTTCCATCCTCCCTCACCACTGCTTCTCCCTGCCCCAGGCACTGGGCTGCAAGCCTGGCTTAGGGGCAGGTTCAGGGACACCAGGCAGGGGGATCCCCCTGTGTCTCCTCTGGCCTGTCCCGGCCACGCTTGGGCCCTGCCACATGGACATCTGGGCCCTGAGAGCTGTCTCTGGGTGCTTTGTCTTTGGCAGGCAACTGTGGCACTCTGGGAGATCATCCAGCTGTCCCACTCCTGGTGCCCAAGTGCAGTGAAGGACAATTTCCCCCGCCTCCTTCTGACTCTGCTCTTCCAAGTTTTCATCAGCACAGAGGAGATGTCAGAGGAGGTCGAGACCTTCTGGAGGCGATGCCGGGAGCAGCGCAGCCTTCCCCCCAACCCCAACAGGTGCTCCATCCCAGTCCCCTCTCCCTGCCACGCCCTCGGGGCTGGGGCCAGGGCTCTGTGCCTGACCTGGGCTGTGCTCTGCACACAGGTTTGCAGTGCAGACCATTAAAGCCCTGCTGCGCCAGCTGCTGGATGAGGACGTGCTGATGGCGATCGGTCGCAAGTGTGGCTGGGACATGCTCCTCAAGGCTGACACCCACCACTATGCAGTGGGTCTGCTGGCCAGGTGAGAGCCCTTTCTCCCCACTGCCCCTGTCATTTTTGCCCTGTGCACAAGCCACCCCACACAGTACCTGTGTGCTGGGCCAGAGGGCCTTGGTAGCCAGGGATGGCTGAGCAGAGTGGAAAAGGCGGAGAGGGGCGGCTGCACAGGAGGAGCCACCTCCCAAAGTGCCCACATCCTCTCCTGGGCTGGTGGCCAAAGACCAGACCTGTGTGAGTCAGTCCCAGGAGAGCTTTGCCCACCTGGCTCAGGGTCTCTGGCACCTTTATTCCCCCTTGCAGGGAGCTGTGCCGTTTCTCCCGCTCCTTCTGCCGCAGCATCGCCGTCAGCCTGCTCCCGCGGCTCAGCAGGGGAGAGCCCCTGTGGGAACTGCCTGCCCTGGCGTTCCTGGTGGAGGTGAGCCTGATGGCGAGCGCTGCCTGGCCCAGCTGCCTCCCCCTCTCTGCCCTCTCACAGCCGCAGCCGCCCGGGACGGTGCCTGCACCCTGTGCTGCTGCCTGGGCCCAGCCCCGGGCGGGTCCGGGCTCCTGCCGGCCGGGCACCCCGTCACTGCTCCCTGCCTTTCAGGTCCTGCACTGCCTGAACCCCAGACAATGTGGGCCCAGCGTCCTGCAGATCATTTCCAGGCACCTGCGCAGGCAGTGCCCGGAGAGGCGTCGCCTGGCGCTCCGAGGCCTGCTGGTGCTCAGCAAGGCTCCCTCAATGGTGAGCAGGGGGCAGGGGCTGAAGCCGGGCCGGCAGTGTGAGGCTGTGCAAGGCAGTAGCTTGGCCTTGGCTGGCCTTTGGCAGCTGTGGCAGCTGCTCCCAGCTCTCCTCCTCCCCGTTCAGCTGCCCGACTCCTTTGGGATGCACCTTTGGCCTCTGGGCCCCACGGCAGCAGCGTGGAGCTGCACCACAGCATTGTGTTCCACACAGGCTAAGAGCATCCGGAGCCTGAATGAAAGCCTCCTGGAGCTACTGCAGGATGCAGACACAGACACAGTTCAGATGACTCTCTCTGTGTTCATCAACGTGCTGGGCTTGAAAGTCATCGAAATATCCACCCCTACTGCCCTGAAGTTGCTTGAGGCGCTGCGGCCACTCTTTGACAACGTAAGGCTCTGTGCCCCTCATCGTGGGCACTGAGTGCTGCCAGGAAACTTTGGGCCCAGTGTCTTTTCAGGCCTGTGCCCCGGTGGGCCTGGAGAAGCCAGTGCTGAGGTCTTTTCCTCTTCCTTTGCACCAGGAGCACAGCCAGCTGCAGCAGCACTCCATGCTCCTCTTCCGGGAGCTGATGGAGGCGACAGAGAGGAGCAAGAGCCTAAAGCCACACGTGTACCTGAGTCTGGTGCCATTCTACTTCAACTGGCATGATGAGAACCAGCGTGTGGCAGAGGTGAGGACTCGTGGGCTCTGGTGTCCCCATGGCAGGAGGCTGCTGTGCCTCCTGCCCTGGCCCATGGTCGCCTGCAGCCTCCGCCTGGCCTTGGCGCAGGGATGCGGGTGCTGTGCCCTGGGCTGCGGTGCCATGGCCCGCTCTCTGTTGCTGTGCAGGCCTCTCGGAGAGCACTGTTTGGTGCAGCCAAGTTCCTGAAGTGGAGGGATCTTGAGAACTTGGTGACCATGGAGCAGCCATGGAGGTTTCCCGAGTGCCTGGTAAGGATGGCCCCAAAGCCCCAGCCCCTGGCTCCCCAGGAGCACCCAGCCCTCTGCTCCCCCCAAACCCGGCCCCAGCGGCTGCTGGCCAGGCCTCAGGGCTCTGCGGGCAGGGGAGCCCCGTGCTGGGGGCAGGGAGCGCCCGGCCAAGGGGCAGAGCCTGAGCCGAGCCTTCCCTCCGTGCCCTGGCGCTCTTTGCAGCTGGAAAAGGACAGGAGCCGAGTGGGCCAGTACGTGCGCCAGGCCCTGCCGTTCCTGGAGAGCCCAGAGGAGCCCCTGCGAAAGCTGGCCATCAAGTTTCTGGGTGAGCCACAAGGCCGGGGTCCCTCCCCGCCCCGCTGCAGCTCGGCCCCAGCCCCGGCTGCTGCAGCGGCAGCAGGATGCGGCCCAGGGCATGTGGAGCCCCGAGTGGCCTGGTGCCTGCTGCCGCCCTGTGCCAGCCCAGCCCTGGGGCGTCCCCATGCGGGAAGGCCCCGGGCTCAGCCCTGCCAGGGCAGGAGGCCGTGTGGCCGGGCTGGCAGCGCCGCTGCGGGGGACCTGTGCCTCTGGGGCCTGACAGGCTCTGTGTTCCCAGGGATCGCCGCCAGGTCCATGAAGCAGGAGCAGCCAGAGCTGCAGCTCATCTGCCAAGGTGACCGAGGGCACCTTCCATCTGATCCCCTTGGGCCCTGCTCCCTCCTGGCCATGGCAAGAGCTGGCTGGGATGGCCCTGGCAGGAGGGGCTCCTCACGTCCCCACACCCCTGGCCTCTCACCTTGGCTCTCTTCCTTTCTCTTTCAGCCCTTCAAGGCATGACTGATGACAGCCCTGCCGTCTCAGACCTGGCCTGTCAAACGCTCCACATTATCAGAGCTGTACGGAGAACTTCATTCTTCCCATTCTGGTAGTCTCCGTTGCTGCCTCTTCCAGCCTGTAGAGACATGACAGAAGACATCAGACTCGCCGTGGCAGGCCTGGCAATTCAACACTGCTACGTGCCGAGAGCAGTACAGATGGCTCCCTACTGCAGATTCCAGCAGCTCCAAGACTGGCTGTGCAGGGCGTGGAAGACCCGGCCTTTTCCACAGGGCAGTGTCTGCCTGTGCTGCTGCAGCTCTGTGGGGAACTGATGCAGGAAGCTCCATCTCCTGGGGCCACCTGAGCCTGTGGGGAAGATACCTCTTCCCTGCAAGCACCTCCTTTGAGCTCAGCATGGGAATATTACATCCATGTTATCACACACAGAAGCCCAGGAGGTTTTTTTGGTGCCCAGTGTGCACAAGGCCTTGGGGAAGAGGGGAAAAGGGCTCCTTGTGCTCAGCAACACTTGCCCCGCTGTGCAGTGTGCCAGCAAAAGTGGGCAGAAGTCCCTTGGCCTTTGGTGGCTCTGCTGGAGCCTCAGCGTTTCCAGCAAAATGGAGGGCCAAAGGCTGGAGCTGTGGGGATGCCTGAGGACCTTGTCCTTGGCGACGGCCACATGCCCTCCTCCAGCCAGGAAGCAGCGTCTGTGTCCTGCCTGTGTGTTGCTGGTTGGATTGCTCCGGGCTCCCAAGTGCCTCTGGAGCGGCTCCTCTGGAGCTCCTTCAGGGCTGCGCCGCTGCCGGGCAGGTTGGCGGGGCTGGGGGAGACCCGCAGGGGAGGGGGCGCTGGGAGGCCAGGAAGGGGTGAGGTGCTGTGGAGGCCCTGATGGGACAAGGGAGCAGGAAGCCTTGAGGGGAATCTGTGAGGGGGTGGGTGGCAGAAGGCTGCAAGGGGACATACTGGGAGCAGGCCCCGAGGGGCAGGGTGGAGGGAAAAGCCCCCAGGACTTGGGGGGCAGAGGCCATAAGCAGCCCCCAGGCAGCCACCTCCTTCCCTGCCAGCCAGCTGCTCTGGTGCTTTCCCGAGGCCTCTCCCAGCCCTGTGGCAGAAGCCCTGGAGGCCAGGCCTCAGCAGCAGGGTGGGCACACCCCCAAGGTGGCCAGGCTGGCCTGGCTGGGGACAAGGAGGGCAAGGGGGCCCTGCCGGGGCACGTCTGCCGGGTGCTGCCAGCGAGGGGTAGTGGCACAGGCAGGGCTGGTGGCCAGCC